CTTCAGTATTGACCCAGCGTTCTGTTTCCTCAGCTTCTAGACTCAGCAATGGAAAACACTCATGAAGGTCCAGATTAACGCCATGATAAGATTAGGGTCCCATCCTCAACAGAGCTTCTTATTCACCTGATAGTGCCCTATGTGCCCAAGTCAAAGCTCACTCATTTCTTGCAGGGGCTATTTCAAACCTTTATTACTTACTCCTCTAGTACCCTGCCCTTACTACTTCTTATCTCAGGATAGAATTCCTTGTCCTTCCTCACCATCAACAAGACTTATCTGTAAGACTCTTTTATCACCTGACTCAGAGGAAGCCATGTTCTTCTTGATGTTTAAGGTTAATCCTCCTATGTACACTCTGGATCCCATTCTGTCTCATTTCAATGGGGACTCACTCCCCCACTTATGCCTCTCTTTTCTAAAATTTTATTCTTTTTTGCTTTTTCAGATTTTCCTCCTAAGGCTTTGCCCATTGATGTACGTTCTTCTCCCATTCTTTGAGTGATCTTATTCACCCCATAATTTCAGCTGCCACATATATCCCAGAATTCATCTGTCTACATCAAAAGTCCAGAATGCTTTTTAAATTCCATAATGGTCTACCTAGTTACCCTCTAGACAGCTCCACCTGATTCCTCCCTCTCTTTTTTTCTCTCACCAGCTAGTCAATGATTCCTATTCATTTTACTTATTAGCTGTTTCATAAGTATTACACTTCCCCTTCATTAAACTTTTCCTTCTGCTTCCAATTCATTTAAAACACAAATATGATCAAGCGTTCCCATGTTTAAAATGCTTTATGGTCCTCATCAACTTTGATTCAAAGGGAAACTCCTTGACATGACACACCAAGTCCTTTAAGATTTGATCCTTGCATTTCTCTCCAAACTTTTGTTTTCCAAAAAATGTTCTGAGAAAGACTTATCCTGTGGAGAGTTTTGTAAGATAGCTTATGGGAAATAGAAAGGGAAGGTGATACTTTACCAAGGTCAAATACGTTTAAGAAACTAATGTTCCAGTATTACCTCTTAGCAGCAGTGGTTCTCAATTGGGCCCTGGGCCAGCACCACCAGCATCACCTGGGACCTCATTAGAAATGCAAATTCTCAAGTCTCATGTTAGACCTACTGAGTCAGAAATTCTGGGGCTATGGTTCAGCAATCTGCATTTTAGCAAGCTATCCTGGTGATGCTAATATACGTTAAAATTTGAGAACCACCATCTTAGAGACTCACAATACATATTAGCATATTAAAGGCTCCAGGAAGTCTGGAGATAAACTGTTTAACTGTATGTAGTTAAGCAAAAGTTTTCTTAATCTGTTTGAGCACAGACTTGTGTGTGTGTATGTGTAACACTCAATAACATTCAGCAGAACTGTTAGAGAAATACACTTTGTCAAAAGCTGTTGTAGCCTCATCTTACTGGTAATTCTTTAAGTATGTATCTGTTGTGTGCTTGTGCATTTAAGTATCCCATTCTGTATTCCTCTACCAAATATATGGACTACCACAAAAATGTTTTATAGCAATTTAAGAAGTGTGCCCTACATACCACCAGCATGAAGATATCAACATTTTTATTGTGCATGTAATGGATTCTCTGTCTATATTGGTATCTTCTTGATGGAATATCATCATATATTCTTACATAGTTAAAGTGTAGTATACATTCTATCAGTTTATCTGTACAAATGTTTCTGTAGTGAAATACCCTTTGATAAACATGTCTGTTGGAAGCTTTCTTCAGCTGATTATACATACTGGCAACTTTCCACTTTTCAAAATTCCTCTCCCCGTTTAAAAAACCCATTGCCTTCGAGTCGGTTCTGATTCGTAGTGACCCTATAGGACAGAGTAGAACTGCCCATGGGGCTTCCAAGGCTGTAATCTTTGAGGAGGCAGACTGCCACATCTTTCCCCTGTGGAGCGGCTGGTGGGTTCGAACCACTGACCTTTCGGTTAGCAGTCAAGCACTTAACCACTGTGCCACCAGGGCTCCCTCTCTCCCCATTATACTCTCACAAACTTTCTTTCAAGTCTGTTTCTTCAAGAATCTATTAACAAAATAATTTTGCCCACTATTATAATAGTCACTATAATTTCAGTTGATCTACTTAGTCATAATTTTACAAATACTGTAATTTTATTTGTTTGTGGTTATTGATGAGTTTGTAATTACTAAATTTACTTATTATGACTATTGATTTGTAACGGTTGCAGTCAGCATTAATATACTTATTGTTGTCGTTGTTGTTGGTTGCCCTCAAGTTGGTTTGGACTCCGGGCAACCCCAAGTGTGCAGAGCAGAACTGCACGGCATAGGATTTTCAAGGCTGTGACCTTTCGGAAGCAGATTGCCAGGCCTGTCTTCTGAAATGCCAACGAGTGGGTTCAAACCGCCAACCTTTCGGCTAGTAATCGAATGCTTAACTGTTTGGGCCACCCAGGAACTTCATACTAGTTCCTTAAAATTTTACCATTATATGTTTTCAACCATAGGTCAAATATCCTAGTAGACTTCCTCCAGACCAGTTGCTGTTGAGTCAGTTCTAACTCATGACGACCTCATATGTGTCAGAGTAGAGCTATGCTCTGTAGGGTTTTCAGCAGCTGATTTTTTTGGAATGAGATCGCCAGGCCTTTCTTCTCAGGAGTCTCTGTATAAACTCAAACCTCCAACCTTCCAGTTAGCAGCCGAACACGTTAACTGTTTGTACCATCCAGAGACTCCAGTAGACTTCTAAGATATGTTAATAAAATATTACTTAGAAAAATGTAATTCTTAAGAAGTCTGGTAAATATACAAATATACTTAATTATATCCCATCTCTTTAAATATGCGATCTATGAAAGCTCACTATTAAAATGGGAAAAGTGTTGATTTATGGTACTGTTGTGTGGAAAGTAAAAACTTAATGATTCAGGATCCAGTTTGGCTTATTCTGTTGCCACATAAAGAATTTGATGCAAAAAAAAAAAAAAATCAATAATCCTCTGGTGTCAAAACAAGTGATGGAAGTAGAACTTGTGACAGCTAAGGGACTTTGGAATTAATGTATATTCAACTACTTTTGTCTCTCCTACTTTGCATATTACTCTTTGCAGGATGATGATATGCGATTGTGATGTTAGACGTATCATCTATAGTAACTTCTTTTCACTTTATCACATTACCTAAAATATGTTAGATGTATAGTTTAGCTAAGTACACATCATGGTGATTAATGATAGTATTCTAATACAGTCCACTGTGGCCATCAGCCGTAATTTTCTTTCCAACTGTTACAGCTCCCCAGATTGTCTGGATTTCTAAACACTTAGTAGAGAGAGAAATCTATTGAGCTTAATATAATGAGTAAATAATTACATTAATGTGATAAAAATAGTCCTGTTTGCAAAAGCAAAGATAAATTTTAATTAAAAAGTTACCGTAAAAGTAGGCAAAGCTGGATATATATATAAGACTGCGTTGCTGTATTTTTCTTCTTAAAAATTCCCTGATGTGCTTTGATATACCAGATGTCCTCAGGAATTAAGGGAGGAATCCTGCCAATGATTTTCAACTAATTTTCAGATCTACCTAGCTCTGAAGACCCTTTGGAGAATGCTTACAGCTTATTGTGGCTATTTGAAATAGTTTGTGTCATGCCCATTTTAATTTTTTGACCATTTTAATTTCTCTCTCCAGGTTTTAACATCTGCTATTATTTTGAGCAGAAGGGTAAATCGATAGAGTTTGGAAGCACCCTAGCGTAATCTCCCTAAAGGTGGGGTATAGTCTGGTGTGGAGGTCTCTAGTGATAAGTGGATATAATATGGGGCTGTATTTTAACCTTAATGAGAGCAATAATGGATAATGACTCCTCTGAATATAGTACATGTCTTAGGTAGTATGGGAAGATATGCCATAATACAACTATTCAGCAGAGGGTGACTGATGTGGTAGAATACGGCAGTGGCCTATAGCAGTACGTTCAGCCAGAGAACATCAAAACCACCTTTAGATCAAAGAATCCATGAGTTTCCTGAGCTACAAATTGACATTTTCAGATATCTTAGACGTGTATGCCTGTAACGATTTAGCAAAATAGTCAGAATTTCTAAGGCATATGTTTCCTATTTATTTGTACACTTGAGTGAAAATATCTCTGCCTAATTTCATCTTTTTGCCTAATGTTAAAAAGTAAATGTAAAAGAAGTATCCTAAGAAGAATATCCACCAAAAAAATGAAATCGGCAGAATAATTTATATGCATGTTTGAAAGAATCATGTATGTTGAGCATGAAATTTATCTGTGAAACGTTGCGATTACTGTTGTAGTTTGTTAATCTCAACCCAGGTGTAGTGCATCCCAGGCCACCCTCTGCTTCTAGATGAGAGCGGGGGAATTTAGTCAGTGTGGTAAATAGAGAAAGGTTCAAAGAACATTTGTTTTCTTTTTTTTAAGGAAAGGGTAGATTTACGAAGTTACAGTAAACAAGATACATTTGTGAGTCAAATGAAAGAGCTCCAGGTCATTCATGTAAAATATATTTATCATGGAGTTTAACAGCACTGACATTATGACCAGGCAGCCATGAGTTCTGCCCACTTACTACCCATGTGAATTGGGACAAAACATTTAGGCAGGCTTAATTTCACACATACACATACACGCATACACACACAAACTTTTGTACACACCGAATTCAATCTTTACCCTTGGAAGAAACCACAAAGAATATTTCTTCCAATAATAATTCCTAAGATCATGAACTGTAACAGTCAGAGGGAAGAGAAATCTCCTTTCCAGAACCAAAGTATTTAGAAATAGAAGCCTCTGTCACTGTGAGCCGCCATTCTGTTAGGAAAGGAAACTTGACTTTAAGAGTTTCGGCTCCTGTAATCTGAGAGTTATTCCATCATCACTTTTCTTGGATCTCCTGTTTGACAGTGACATGTAACTAAAGTCATCCCATTTAACCTTTTCTTTTGCATGTGTGTGACCTTGTGAGCAGAGTAAGAAGCAGGACGTTCCTCGGGAAGATCAGGGACCAACCACCAAGAATTTGGATTTTTGGCCCCAACTTATTACACTGATGGTCACCATTATTGATGAGGATAAAACTGCCTACACACCTGTCCTGAATCAGTAAGTACACCGTTTTGCAAATGGGTGGATTTTAGTCCATTAGAGTTAAGAAAAGTAAAATATTTGAATCAGAGTGTATACTCTCATGACAAGGACAACCTTTCCAAAAATTCAGCTACAGAAAATAGTATTTTCCTTTATCAGTAGATATCAATTCAGTGGTATGAGTTTTCAGTTTGAGCCCCACTGAGTGTAGTTCTTCATATATGCAGACAGATATTCCCTAAGATTTAATTTTTATTTGATGCAAAACGTTTCTTCTTTCCTCCTGTTCCTGTCACAACTACCCCAGCATCTCAAAGACAAAGTACATCTCCCAAAAAACCGAAAAGAATGTCAGAGCGTTAATATTAAACATATTTATTGTGACTTTTTAATAAAAAGATTTGTCCACAAACCTGCTTTCAAAATAGTCATACGTGCTGGATTTGACAAATTTAGTGAAATATTTTATAAGACAAGTCCATTTTCTCAATTAACAAGCTAAAGCATATGCCACAATGCATAGAATTTACAAATTACAAGCAGGTAGATAAAGGAGATGGATTAAAATTCAGGACTGTTCTAGAAGAGTTTGTAAAATCATCGTTTTATCAAAATGCCTCTAGCTATGAGACCTTGGGCAGATTATCTAATTCCCCTGGGTCTCAGTTTCCTCAAATGTAAATAAGGAGATTTTACCAGGTGATTTCCAAGATCCAATCCAACTTTAAAGTTGGATAACTTTAGGGTTTACTTTATACCCACATGTTGAGGACTGTACAAGAATGTAACAGCTGACGCTGCCAACCTTGACTCTGTCTGATTAATGGAGAGAGAGTGTAAGACCTGAAATGCTGGGGCCAGCAGCCACAGGGATCACAGAAATGGACAAGCCATATGCTGTATGAAGTAGAACATGAAGTAGATTCAGATTTACTGTAAGATTTTTTTTTTTTTTTTTCCAATCTCCTTACTGGTCTAGACAATTAGGATCAAAGGTTATGCTGAATTCAATTAGAATTCCAATCACAGAAGATAGAAATTTAAGTATTCCAATTTTTACTCTTTCCTGCCACTTAACCCTACCCATTTTCATCTGCCCCAATTTCCTCCAAATTGTGGAGAAAGTGTTCTTCTGTTTGATGTGCAACCATGATAGCACCCTTAGGTTTGCTTTCTCACTTCTTTTCCCTTTTCCCCAAACCCTAATCCCTATATCTACCTTTGCTTCCTGACTACCAGAGTGTCTCCTGATGACCATGTGTAGACACTGCTCTTCTTTCTCATCTGGTACGACAGGACTAAGAGAGCTCCTTTCTTCATCCGTGACATGTCCTCATCTCGTTCTGGGTAGTCCTCAGGTCTATGGCAACTTCGTGAAATAAATATATTTTCTCATTTACTCTCTGGTCCTTTCTGGAGACCAGAGGAGTTTTCTTAAAAATTCAGAGACTAATAACTTGTTTAAAAACTGTCCTCAGGCTGTGAAAGAGCATTTGATAAATAACTTTTAAATGAAAACAAACATCTGCCAAGAAATGCAAATTAAAAGTTTTTGAAGGTTAGTCTCCTTTTCACACATTTTCCCTTGGAGAGTACCTTACTTACCAAATAGATTTACCAAATATCAGAAAACAAGATATGACTAGTAAAAGATACAATATAAAATCGTGGAATTAAGTAAAGTTTCCCAGAATTATCTTTAATCATATACCATGAAAAATATACAAAGACTTTAGTAGAACTTTTATAATTAAAGAGTGTGGAGTAAATACATTTAGTTATGGTAAAAATCAATTTAAAATTATAAACTGAATTAAGCCTACTAGGCATAAAAATGAGCAATGACACATGGAGAATGGACAGATGTCTTTGTTTCTTTTTTTAATTTTATTTTTGTTGTCAGTGTTAGAACCACATGTTTCCCCCATGAAAATGTAGCCCTAAAATTTTCAGTATCTTCCCTCTATTTGGAATCTGTATTTTATGTTAATATGTTTTATGATTGTCTTTCCTCAGATTTTGAGGATGTCCTGAAGCTCTTTTTACATCACTGAAGATGATTCTAATTTTTTTTTCTTTAGGTCCTCCCTTACTTTAATCAACGTTTGAAGTGAACCTCTCTTGAGAGTGAGCTGTGGCTTGGGTGGCCAGTGTTGCATATTTATAATTTAGTGAAATTTTTACTCACATCAGTTTATTTGTACAACATGTCACATCAAGTTTAGGCTTTGCTAATCATCTCATGGAAACCTTGTTGGTGTAGTGGTTAAGAGCTACAGCTGCTAACCAAAAGGTCGACAATTCAGATCCACTAGATGCTCCTTGGAAACCCTGTGAGGCTGTCCTACTCTGTCCTATAGGATCGCTATTAGTCAGAATCAACTCGACGGCAACGGGTTTAATCATCTCATTGTTACTTAGGCTAGTGAGGTGCTTCATAAAGTAAGAAATCTAGACCACCAGGGTAAGAATCCCTTCAGCTGCTAGTTGGAAATGTTAATTCTGAGCCCCATCCCAGATTTATGGGAAGTTGGGATCCAGAACTCTACATTATTAATAAAGCATCCCTCATATGTCTTGTATTTTATTTTATTTTGTCCCATACAAAAATTTATACATACATTGTTAAGTGACCCTAATTGCTCTCCCCAAACTGTGACAGCACACTCCTCCTTTCCACCCCTGATTCCCCATGTCCATTCAACCTAAACCTCTCTGCCTTCCCATCTCACTTCTGGACAGAAGCTGCCCATTTAGCCTCTTGTATCTACTTGAGCTAAGAGGCATACTCTTCATGAGTATCACTTTATGTCCCACAGTCCAGTCCAATCCCTATCTGAAGAGTTGGCCTTGGAAATTGTTTTAGTTCTGGGCTGATAGAGAATCCGAGGGCCATGATTTCCAGGGTTCCTTCAGTCTCAGTCAGACCATTAAGTCTGGTCTTCTTACCTGAATTTGAGTTCTGCACCCCACCTTTCTCCTGCTCCATTTGGGACTCTGTTGTGTTCCCCGTCAGGGTGGTCATTGGTGGTAGCTGGGCACCATCTAGCTCTTCTGGTCTCAGGCCGATGAAGTCTCTGGTTTATGTGGCCCTTTATGTCTCTTGGGCTACTACTTTCCTTGTGTTTTTGGTGTTCTTCATTCTCCTTTATTCCAGGTGGTTGGGACCAATGGATGCATCTTAGATGGCCGCTTGCAAGCTTTTAAGACTCCAGACACCACTCACCAAAGTAGGATGCAGAACATTTTCTGAATAAGCTTTTTATGCCAATTGGCCTAGAAGTCCCCTGAAAGCATGGTCCCCAGACACCTACCCCTGGTACTCTGTCCCTCAAAGTGTTTGATTGTATTCAGGAAACTGCTTAGCTTTGGTTTAGTCCAGTTGTGCTGATTTTCCTATAGTGTGTGCTGTCCTTCCCTTCACCTAAGATAATTCTTATCTACTATCTAGTCAGTAAATAACCCTCCCCCTCTCTCCCCACACTTGTAACCATCAAAGAATATTTTCTTCTGTGTTTAAACGTTTTCTTGAGTTCTTATAATAGTGGTCTTATACAATATTTGTCCTCCTGTGACTGACTACCTTCACTCAGCATAATGACCTTCAGCTTCCTCCATGTTATGTTTCATGGCTTCATCGTTGTTCTTTATCGTTGTATAGTATTCCATTGTGTGGATATGCCATAATTTCTTTATCCGTTCATTGATGGGCACCTAGGTTGTTTCCATTGTTGCTATTGTGAACAGTGCTGCAATGAACATGGGTGTCCATATACGTATTTATGTGACGGCTGTTATTTCTCTAGGATATATTCCAAGGAGCGGGATAGCTGGATCCTATGGTACTTCTAGTTCTACCTTTTAAGGAAGCGCCAAATTGATTTCCAAAGTGGTTGTATCATTTTACATTCCCAACAACAGTGTATAAGTGTTCCAGTCTCTCCACAACCTCTCCAGCATTTATTATTTTGTGTTTTTTGGATTAATGTTAGCTTTGTTGGGGTGAGATGGTATCTCATTGTAGTTTTGATCTGCATTTCCCTAATGGCTAATGATCATGAGCATTTCTTCATGTGTCTGTTAGCCACCTGAATATCTTCTTTGGTGAAATGCCTATTCATATCCTTTGCCCATTATTTAATTGGGTTGCTTGTCTTTTTGTTGTTGAGGTTTTTCAGTATCTTCTAGATTTTAGAGATTAGACACTGATTGGTTTTGTCGTAGCCAAAATTTTTTCCCCAGTCTGTAGGTTGTCTTTTTACTCTTTTGGTGAAGTCTTTTGATGAGCATAAGTGTTTGATTTTTAGGAGCACCCGTTTATCTAGTCTCTCTTCTGGTGCTTGTGCATTGTTACTTATGGTTCGTACTGTGTTTATGCCATGTATCAGGGCTCCTAGTATTGTCTCTATTTTTTCTTCCATGATCTTTATCGTTTTTGATTCTATATTTAAGTCTTTGATCCATTTTGAGTTAGTTTTTGTGCATGTGTGAGGTATGGGTCTTGTTTCAGTTTTTTGCAGGTGGATATCCAGTTATACCAGCACCATTTGTTAAAGAGACTGTCTTTTCCCCAATGAACCGACTTTGGGCCTTTGTCAAATATCAGCTGCTCATAGATGGATGAATTGATGTCTGGATTCTCAGTTCTGTTCCCTTGGTCTATGTATCTGTTGTTGTACCAGTACCGTGGCAGTATAATAGGTTCTAAAATCAGGTAGTGTGAGGCCTCTCACTTTGTTCTTCTTCTTGAGTAATGCTTTACTTATTTGGCACCTCTTCCCTTTCCATTTAAAGTTGGTGACTTGTTTCTCCGTCTCAGTAAAAAATGCCGATGGAATTTGGATCGGGATTGCATTGCATCTGTAGATCACTTTGGGTACAATTGACATTTTCACAATGTTGAGTCTTATCTATCCATGAGCAAGGTATGTTTTTCCACTTACGCAGGTCTCTTTTGGTTTCTTGCAGTAGTGTCTTGTAGTTTTCATTGTATAGATCTTTTACATCTCTGGTTA